AAGTCTTCAAAGTGAAAGAGATGTCTGTATTAGATAATTCTCTGAATTCTGTGAATACTAAAAGAAAGCAGACTTCTGAATAAGATACAAATAAGAATGAAGAAGTAGACACTTATCTTAATATCTTGAGATCTGAAATATTAATGTATAGAGAGTACTTGAGTAAGAATTAAGAGATAACTGTAAAAGTATTAGCAGATATAGAAGCTTCTATATAATATATTAATAATTATATAATCTGAAGACTGAAAGAAATCTGCTGAGTGAAGAATCTTCAATATATAAGATTATCTGATAACTGATATCTAGTATTACTATTATTATTATTATTCTTCAATTATAGATGTATGCAGTCAGAGACTATGACATCTACCTGAGAATCTTTAGTTCTCAGGGTTTTTCCTATATCTATAGAGTCAACTATTATACATTTATCAATTTCAGATATGCAAAATCAGAAAATTCCAGCCCAGAATACAAAAACTGTTTACAAATTGCAGTATTTCAACACCTTCTGATACTTTGAAATCATTTGAAAATATCATGACAAAGGAAAAGAGAACATAGTCTTAAAGATAGACACATTAAATAGATAGATAGAAAAGAACAGAAGGAAACAAGTATAGTAAAGAGAGACTATAACAAAATAAAATTATTAAAAGATAGTGTATAGCTGTTTTAACAGACTATATCTAATCAATTTCCACCTCTTCATATTCAGATACTTCTGAATTCAGCCATTTTCTTGTGGCTGCTTTAGTTTCTGATAGAAAGTCTATTAAGTATTTAATTCCTGTCTCAGTTGAGAATAAGAACCTCATATTTAATTGATTTAAATCATACTTCTTCTTTAATCTGACTCTGAGACTATTGTATAATGCACAATGCATTACAATATGCTCAGGATTTTCATTCACATTGCAGAATGAGCACTCTGTTGAATCAAATCTATTATCAAATCTTTGTATATAGGATTTGAAATAACCATGTCCTAGTTTCAGCTGAATTATAGATGAGAATATTTTCTTTTTACATTTAATTGAACAAGATTTCCACTTTGGTTTTGTCTCAAATCTTGAATAATGTATACTCTTCTTTTGTTTCTGCCAGCTTTCATTCCACTTGTTTAAACAAGATTCTTTTATCTTTCTCTTTATGAAAGACCAGAACACTGTTTTTTGAATAGATCTGCTTAATTCTGAACCCTTTTTTGCAGCTGAATCAGCCAATTCATTGCCATGAATATTCATATGAGCAGGAACTCAATGCAGATGAATTATCAGTTTTGATGTTCTTCTCTTTTGAATTTTCAAAACAGAGTTTAAAATCAGTTCAAGATTCATTTGATCATTATGAATCTGACTATTTCTAAGTCTTTTTAAAGCAGCTTGACTATCAGAGAATATCCATGCCTCTTTCAAACTATTTCCTCTTTTATGAGATTTTATTTCAATGAGTTTGAAAGCTTTCACTATTGCAAATAGTTCAGCATCAAAGACTTCAGATTCACAGCCTAAATTCCAGAAATCTGAGATAAAATTGATATTATCTTCAGTATAAGCAATGCCTGCACCTAATCTATTCAAATTCTCATTTTTTGAGCCATCTGAGTAAATCAGAATAGAGTCTTTTATATTGATTGTAGAGATCTTCTTCAAATGCTGTTCATATTCTCTCTCTTTAGATAGTTCACTTATTTGTAAGTCTATGAGAGATTCCAGCTTTTCTCTCCAGGGAGATATCTTCTCATGATCAATTTTCTCAACATTTAATGAAGAAAATTGATTCTTAATAAGTGAACATAGTCTATACAGTTGAGAGAGCATTTTCTTTAAAGCATTATTCTCATTCCAATCAAGAAATCTATTCCAATCCAGTTTATTTCCTGAGTTAACTGATGGAAATGAAGAAGAGACTCTTTCTCTGATTATATGATTTGAGCTCATCTTCATGACTCTCAGAGCATAGTTCATACAGGCCTTTTCAAATCGAATAGCAGGAGATGGAATTGAAGCTTCAATTTCCATTGCTTTAATAGGAGATGATTTGAATGCTTCCAGAATTCTTCTCAAAGCTCTGTTTTATAGACTTTGAAAGAGTTCAGTGAAGTTATCTTGATTGTTCCACCAAACTTGAACTCCATAATCAGCTACTGAGGTAATACAGGCTATGTATAACTGTCTCATAGCCTGAAAGGATAGACCTCTCTCAGTATTTGATAGTCTGATTATACTATTCAGTAGTCTCTCTGCCTTGATGATTCTTTGTTCAATATGATATTTAAAATTCAACTTGGAGTTTAACCATACTTCTACTGATATCTAGTGTTACTTACAAGAGTAAGAGTTTTCTTGTACTTCAGAGAATGATCTTGCTATATTTGAGTGTGAGAGCTGCAGAATGTGAAATATGATCTTATTCTCAGACTCAATTGATTTTAAAGATTCAATTCACAGATTCAATGATGTACATGTTATATGAGATTAACTGATAGAAAGAAAACAGTTCATACAATTCTATTAACTGATATGAGAAGAACATTTCACATCTCTGATATAGAAGAATTAAATCTACTTATATACTAATAAGTAAAGAGAACAATTTGCAAGATCTCATCTGAAAGCATCTTGTATATCATACAAGACCTGAAAGAAGAGAAAACCAACATAAAGAATATACAGGAGAATAAGTGTATGAAGATACTTCTGAAGAAGTATGAAAAGGTCTTTCAAACAGATCTTTCACTGAAATTATCATCAGAATAAGACTTTGTACATGAGATTAACACAGAGAATGTGAAATCAGTCAATCAGAATGCATATTCTCTGTTACAAACACATTTTAAAGAATAGAAGTATCAGATCACAGACCTTCTAAAACATAATCTTATATAACTCTCATCAAGCATGTGAGACTTCTCAGTTTCATTCATGAAAAAGATAGATAAGAAGTGATAAATGTGTATTGATTATCAAGCACTCAATAAGCTTACAATCAAGAATAGATACTTATTATCACAGATTCAACAACAGTTACATACAGTCAGAAATGCTTGATATCTGTTAAAGATTAATCTTCTCTCAGAATAATGACAGATCTGTGTAGATGAACTATCAGTATCATGAATCACATTTAATATATAATAAGAAAAGTTCAAATTTCTGGCAATGTTATTCAGTCTGATAAATGTATCTGTTATCTTTCAAATAATAATGAATACAATTCTTTATAAACAGAATGAAATCTCATGCCTTGTACATCTGAATAATATCTTAGTCTTTTCAAACTCATATAATAAACACTTGAAGTATCTCAATGAAGTGATTACAACTCTGACAGAGTATAAGCTCTATATTAAATCAATTAAGTGTGTATTTAAAATGAAAGAGTTGAAGTTCATAGAATATATAGTGAGTAGTAACTGTATATACCTCATCTCAGAGAAATTGAATCTTATAGTGAATTGACTACAGCTGAGAAATGTATATTATATACAAGAGTTTCTTGAGTTAATCTCATATTATCACAGATTTATCAAGGATTTCACATAAATAGCTGTATCACTCTCAGATCTCTTAAGAGAAATGAATATAAATTTGTGAAAGAAGAAGTTTTGTTCAATTTTCTGAAATACTGTGTGTGAAGAGATCTTTCTCACACTGAAAGAATATATAATAATATTCTCAGTGCTTATTTAATCAGATTATAATAAATCTTTCTACATTGAGATGAATGCATCTGAATAAGCTATCAGAGATGCTCTTCTGCAGATGAGTAAGAATAACAAGCTGCACTTAATGATGTATGATGATAGAAAACTATCAGACACTGAACTCAATTACTCAGTGTATGAAAAGAAATTACTGATGATTAAATACACACTGGTGTTATAGAATAGATATATCAACAACAGATATATAATAATAATGATTACAGATTATGAAAGCCTTATCTATCTATAATTGATAATGAAATCTTTCAAACACTTAGTATGTTGAATCTCAGAGTTTTAAGCATATAATCTTTATATCAAATATTAAAAGAAATCAGATGCTGTGATATCTGATGTAATCAGTTACAGATCTGATTTCATGAGTGAGAGTTCTGTAAATCAGGTACAAGAGAAGTTCATATTAAATACACAGAGAAAATGCAAGAAATCAGAATGAGTGAATACAATAATCTCTTATTTAAAGAATAATAAGATATTGAATAATAAGCATCTTGCAAAGATAGTAGAAGAGATACCTCTGAATTTCAAGCTGAGAAAATTGAAAAATGATGTTATACTCTACTGTAATCTAGAATATGCAGAGATCCTCTATCTGAAACATTTATTTAGACATGACTTGATGACTCATATGTACAAGGAATTCAGTCACTTAGAAAGCTCTGAACTCATAAGTGTACTCAAATCAAGAGTGTACTGATTAAGCATGACTGAGAACATTCAGATATACACTCACAAGTAGACTGGCCGCCGGGACCATGAATTTCACGTTTGGTCTCATTTGGTCTGGTCTCATACATTTCTTGGCGTGAATTCTGCTGGGACTAGTCATTAAAAAACATGCAAAGTGACTATATATCAGATCTTAAAATGAAATCATGACTTGAAAAAAATGAGAAAGTGGTTCCATTTGGTCCCATTTAGTCCCATTCTTGGCATAAAGTTACTATTTTTAGACATTTTAAGGTTTTCTTTAGACTATTTTTAATTTTTTAAAAAGTAACACTTTTTAATAACACTCAAATGAGATTTAAAGTCATTTAAAGCAATAAAAATAATTTAAATTGAGAAGTGAAAATCATAGTCTCATTTGGAAAATGTGACAAGAGTAGACAGTAAGTCTCACTGAGACAGTATAAAACTACTATCTAATGTTAAAACTGTGTAATGGAATCAGTCGAATTGGTAATGAGACTATCAAAAAATCTGGTCCTGGTCCCAGACACGGTCACACGGTCAGTCTACTCACAAGTGCTCAAATTGCCAGGTCATGAAAGAATCTAAGAAAGGATTAGAATGTAAGAAAGTATAATATCAGATGAAATGTGTAATACAATTATTTAAATAATGAGAGATGAATCTCATAGACATATTACTATAAATATCAAATGAAAATTATTAAATAATCACTGCTATTGACTATGCTACTGACTGACCAGTCACAAAAGCAGTTTCAGAGATGATAGAGAAGATGATAATGAAGTTTCTATATAATGAGATCTATATCAACTATGAAATGCTGCATAAAATTCTGACAGATAATGATGTGAATCTTGTAGAAGAAGTAGTGAGGCATTTTGTAAGTCAGTTACAGACAAGATATCATAGAACAACATCATACCACTCGCGGACAAACAGAAAGATGAAACACTTGAATGGAATCCTGAGTAACATGCTAATGAAATATCTAGTGAGCAAGCCTATAAGACTATGAGATGAATATCTTGAACAGGCACTATTAGCTATGCAGATTCAGCAGCATGCAGTCTCTATACATTCATCATTCTATCTGTGGTATGAATTGCATCCGCGCATTCCGGAGAATGCTTTGAAAAAGGTGAGGGAGAGAATAGCAGTTGCAGATACAACAGAAACAGCATTTGCAGATGCAGTAGAAACAGCAGTTGCAGATGCAGCAGTCACAGCAGTTGCAGACACAGTCATTGTGAACATAGAATCAAGATTGAAAGAGATCAGCTATGCATACACAAATGCTAATGAGTTACTTCTGAACTGAGCAATTCAATCAAAAAGAATACAAGACTCACTAGTGAAGAAATTGAGTCTCAAGATAAGAATATGAGTTCTCATACACAATGAGAGTTCTGAGATGTTTTAATCTAGATGGTTTAAGCTCTATAAAATACTCAAATCACATTCTCTGAGAACATATGCATTGAAAGAATCAGAGATTAGACAAGGTTAGTTTTAATAAGCTGTTCACTGTAGTAGTCTGAGCTAGACTGGCCGCCAGGACCATGAATTTCACATTTGGTCCCATTTGGTCTGGTCTCATACATTTCTTGGCGTGAATCCCGCTGGGACTAGTCATTAAAAAAACATGCAAAGTGACTATATATCAGATCTTAAAATGAAATCATGTCTTGAAAAAAATGAGAAAGTGATCTCATTTGATTTCATTTAGTCTCATTCTTGGCATAAAGTTACTATTTTTAGACATTTTAAGGTTTTTTTTAGACTATTTTTAATTTTTTAAAAAGTAATGCTTTTTGATAATGCTCAAATGAGATTTAAAGTCATTTAAAGCAATAAAAATAATTTCAATTGAGAAGTGAAAATCATGATCTCATTTGAAAAATGTGACAAGAGTAGACAGTAAGTCTCACTGAGACAGTATGAAACTACTATCTAATGTTAAAACCATGTAATGGGATCAGTCGAATTAGTAATGAGACTATCAAAAAATCTGGTCCTGGTCCCAGACACGGTCACACGGTCAGTCTAGTCTGAGCAGGTGAAGAGAGACAGTATAATGTATAAGACAGAATCACAAGAGATGAAAACTGCTGAATCTAGTCACTGAACACTGTATTATATAGAGATTGTATAAGAGTAATAGCTAGCAGACAAAGAAAAAGTGTAAGAAAAGAAAAGAGAATGACTCAAGATATAATAAATTAATTATCAACTGTAAGAGTCAGCTGTAAAGAGATAAATGTTATCATATATATTTCATTTCGTTGCATATATCACACATTTAATCTATTTCCAACACCATATCATCTGAAAAATGTCAAAAACAAAGAAAATCTCAAAACTTAAGATTTATAAGAAATTTGAGAGTTACAAGCTGCTCTTACAACAACACTGCACATGTCTCTGATTTCTCTATCACTCTGTATACAATATTAATATCATTTATCATAAAATTGACTGAAATGCCAGTATAGAAATGTGTACACATGTGTGTAGAAAAATTAAAGAAGAGTATAGAACTTACAGAATCAGAAGTTGAAACAGAGAGAGCAGAGATGAAAGAAACTGAAGAAGAAGAAAGTACAGAATAGAATGAATAATAGCAGAAGTCACTCAGAGCTGAACACTTATAACTCAGTATGCACACAACCTTCTCTGCAGAAGAGAGAGAGAAAATAATAAGAGAAGCTTGAGAGTGAGAGAGAATAGTCTCAGTGATATTATCATCTTTGAAAATTGACATGATTCCTGGCACTGAAGCAACTAAGAATCATTAGTGTATAAAAATAGAGAAAATAGAGATAATAATTACTGAACAAACACTCACTGATCTTAGAATTGTACACATAATTACAACATGCACAAGACTTCTCAGAAAGAGAGAGAGAAATGCAGAGAATTGCAGAGAGAAGAATACAATGTATGAACAGCTCATTTTCATAACAACATCTCAGACAAGATATACAAGTCTCATATCTATGAGTGTAAAAGAGTATGACATTCATATTCTCATTTCTGAAAACACAGATATTCTTCATCTACATTACAAAGTCAGATAATAAACACTAGAGAATAGGCTGATATAAGTCAATCATTTCAAAGATATTTATCAGAGTAAATGTACTCATAATATTGAATTTAACAGTTGTAAAAAGTTTCTTGATATTCATAGACATTATAACTTCATATATAACAAAACTTATAATAATTTTCTCTAGAAAAATTAGCATTAGAAGAGAAGATGAAAAAGAAAAGACTTACACTTTTAACACTGTTAAGAAGAGAAATAATTCTGTGATATGAATATATAATTATTTCATTATAAATACTTAAAATGAATATAATATTCAGTATCTGCAACTGAGCTTCAGATAGTTATGTTATATACAGTCTGTGTACAATAAATTGTTCTAGAGATCAGTAAAAAGAATGAAAGTATACACACTGAGAAATATAATTCATCAAGTCTATGTAACATCTCTTTGAAACAAGAAGAGCTGATAACAGCAGCAGAAGTGACAGCAGAAATAGCAGAGGCAGAAGTAGCAGGAGCAGGGATAGCAGGAGCGGGAGAACCAGACACAGGGGCAAGTGTAGAAGATTCAAGAGAAGTGGCAGAGAAAGAAACAGAGAGAGCAGAAGAGAATATGAGAGACCCGGCCACATATAACATGAGTAATTTCTTCATTATCATGTTCTTCAAGTTCTTGATCAATGATTCAACATTGAGTTCATTATCATCAGCAGATACAGATCTGTCAATATATGAAGATTCTACATGAATAAAAACAATCAGCATCTGCATTCATGAAAAATCATGTCAGAAAACATGATCAGATGCTCACTGAGAAGAAAAGAATCAAGAATGTATAAGAAGATGAAGAAGATGTGTCATTCATGATAATACATTCTAGCAATCATTAGAGGAAAAACAAGTCCTGATCATATTTCACAACACATTACACTTACTGCTAACAAACTGCCTGGTATGAGCACTATAATAATACTTATTGTAGGAACAGAGGGCCATCGCCAGAAACATGTACAATGTGATAGATGAACAGATTGAAAAGAGCTTGATAAAGAGAGATGCAGAAATCTTGTATGAGATGATGATGTTCAATAATAATGATAACAGAGATGATGATTGAAGAATGAAAATATTAGTAAATGAGTAGTATAAAAATAGTGAAAGGTTCTCTGAGAGTGGCTTACATCATGATCACATGGGCGTGACTGAATCTGATGAGAGACAATGTGATTTGAAAGAATGTATGACTGCTGAATAATAACGCGGCCGCTTCTGAACACACTTATGAATGTAAAGAGGTCATAGCAGCCACTAATTAATTTAGTATAATATATATAAGAAGCCGGCGTACACCTGTAATCGTACGCCGGCTCAAGCAACCTTTGAATCACAATTTTAAGACATTAATATCAAGTCTCACTTACATATCACTCTTCTCAATCTGGCTCAGCTTTAGCAGAAAGATATAAAAAGATATCTCAGTAATAGTATTCAATACATAACTGATAGATAACTATAAAATCAGTCTAACTTAAGATCTGACTAAGTCTTTAATCTCTGCATAGTGAGATAAATTAAATCTAGTTTTAATATCTTAATATTCAATAGATTCTGCAAGAAATTGAGAACAGTAACACTAGATTTCTATTGAATTTAAGAATTAACTCTATATTAATATAATCATTGACAAAGTCTTCTATTTTGAGATATAAATAACCAGTTTCTCTACATTCTGCTAGCAATATTTATATTATTATGTAGAAACAGACTTATATTCTCTATAATATCAAGACTCTGAAGAGAGAAAGTCTTGATAGAGAGTATATAATAGTACATATCTTAGCAGTTTCTATCTCATTCTTCTGCAGCAGTTAATGTAAAAAGAAAAAAGAATTTAGAACTATTTTTTTACTTCTCTTGAAAAAGTAAGATGTTCTTCTCTGAGTTTTATACAATATTCTTACAAAGAATTAAAAACAGAGTTGTTTTCTGTTATAATATCATATTCTTTTAAGTAAGAATTACTTTTTCAGTGACTGAAGAGGTTTCATTAATACTCAATTCTTTTTTACACTCTTTATTAACTGATTTGAGTTGCATACTTGTTGTGTGAGAAGAATTGAATGATGTAGAATAAAATCAAATAGTTTTAATCAATTTCTCTGTAAAAAATTAAGTTATTTTTTGTCAGTTTTTCTCTCAAAAACTGTCATATTATCTGATTTATTATTAATTAATATCATACTTTTCCTCACTGTATTTTAAGAAAGAGATTGTAAAGATTTTATTGATTTATCTTAAAAATCAATTTTAGTTTATTAGATTCTCTTCAAAAATCTAATCTAGTTACTGAACTAGTGTGAAAAAAATCAGATGTTTTATACATAAAAGTCTTTTATTCTTCTTTTGAAATAGTCGGACTAACTTTTCAATTGAAAATAGACTGATAAATCTCTCAATTGAAACAGTCTGATCAACTTTTCATTGAGTGAGTAAAATGAGTTCAAAAATACACTCAGTTGATGTGAAAAAAGATGTTTTCTCAGATACGATTTCTGAGATTGAAATTCTGAAGAGAAGAAACAAAGAAGAAATAGAGAAACAACAAGTTCTTGAAATACAGAAACTTGAAAAAGTAAGCAAAATTCTTGAAAAACAGTGTCTGAGTGAGATCAATGAAGCAGTTCTGTTAATTCTTCATGCTCAGGCTAGACAACTACAGAAACTTGAAAATTCAAACACAGTTCAAACAACATTGAAAATTTCTAGTATAATTACTGACTGTTCATTATCTTCTTCTTCTTCTTCTACTTCTTCTTCTTCTTGGAATCAGAAGAAAACATATGCTCAAGCAGCAGAATCTGCTATTTCTAAACCTGCTATCTCAAAATCTGTACAAAATTCCGAGAAAACTGAGAAGAATATTACTTATACTTCAATTCATAGAAAAGAAGAGAAAAAAATGTAAAAAGAGAAAAACTTTCAAATCTTCAGAAATAGAAGACTTATTCTCAAAGTCTCAAATCAGAAGATCTTGCAGAGAAACAAGCTAAACTCAAATCTCATTTTCAGAATCAGAAATGAAATTAATCAGCAGTTTTTTTCTCAGTTAATAACTGATATTAAAGTTCAAAAACTAGTTATAGCTTTAATTGAGTTATCTTTCTTTGAAAACTCCATCATTCTGACTACAATGCCTGAATTCAGTGCAGAATTCCTTATTCAGAATGAGAATATCTGAAAATGAGCAATAGAATCTTTGTTAAACA